TAAAATATTGTTGTGTTGGATGAAGTACTATGGGGAATAGTGATGCATAGAAAGGATACTGTAGTGGCTGTGGTGGCACGGTGTATTGAAGATTGTATTTGATTGAAAATGGTAAAGTCTACTGATGTGTTTGGATATTAGTGTTATATTGTTGTGGGAAAAGACGATAGTGAAGTGGCAGTTTCGTAGTGAACTAGTTGAGAATTTATAGTGACTAGTATTTTGATTTATAAGAAATTATAGTGGCAGTGGTGTATATGCGTTTCTACGTTCTTATGTATTTGGATAAGGATATAGCAGTAGTGGTAGTCGAGTGTACTGTCTTAGGATTTATATTACGTATTATATTGGGTATAATAAAGCCTCCTTGCCTTCTTGTGTATTTGGATATCGGAATTTTGTGCTTTAGTATAGTATATTGAGGTGGCAGTATATGTTAGTATTCATTTATTCTGCTATTGATATGGTAGGGGTTGTGTGAAACAATAGTATAGTGGCGCTGAAGTGCACAATAATTATTAATGAATTGAAGCACAGAACTGCCTAAGCATTCGTTGAATTTAAGCAAAGATTAAAGAGACTGTCGAAGAATATAATGTATGCATATTTCCAATCTATTTACCACTATATAACAAAACCTAATAAAGTTGAATTCAAAAGTAACCTAAAGAAAAGAAAAGCTCTCACCCCAAAGCCCAAAGTGAGGTAGCGAGGGGCTATTTCCGTATCCTGACGGTAACTTTGCCAATGGGACGCGCGGCTGTACCCCGACCCCAATTTATTGGAATGGTTCTTGGAACTCTGCCTTATTGAATTGAACTTTCAACCAGCTGCACCCATTTAACAATTAGTTTAACAGATTATTAGTTTTGCGTTGGATTCACGATAAAATAAAGCTTTAAGTTGCATTATAGGTTGTGTATCATAATCGTAAACAGCATCTGTAAAATCTCATTTCTAAAATAGAAGGGAGTTGACCAAATTTAAGAAATTAAGAATATTGGAAGATTTATGTAACGTAATGAATAATTAATGTTCCATTATGCTCAGAGTGAATGAAAAAATAAACTATTATGTAAGCATCTTTTCAAAAATGTTGATATGAAAACTTTTTTGAAATTAAATGGAAGAATATTAAGTCATATCATCGCCTATACCAAACGTAACATTACATACATTAAATACTTAATGTAGGCTATATGAAATGTAGAACTTTGCAGGGCTACCAGTTGTTTAATTTATAATTCAAAATCATGCGTGATTGTTACAACAAAACATTTGACAAAACGAAAATGCGCTTCATTTAGCTTAACAATATCTACAGGACTATTGCAGTTTCGGAAGTGCACCTTAATCAGATCTTATTCAAGAGAGAATGTCTCTTATATATGTATATTGTCGCAAACATATTCATAAAAACATTTACGCACAAATGACAAATATAAATATTTGAAGAGCTCAAGGAACGTGTACCGACCGATAGGTAAAAACCTATGTGGTTGCAAATTTTTCAAACTTGTCAATGGGCAAATCAAGTGTTCCTCCTTTTTGAATCAGTAGAAACTATCTAACAGTTCGAAGATCGTCGAAACTTTTCCAAATCACACATTAATCCCGGCTAAATATACCCACATAAATCAGAATTTCATTTCCAAAACCCCACACCCCCTCAGTTGAACAGTCAAATGCCGCTGGTGGACCAATGATATCGATATTCAGTGTGGGGGCGCTGGCAATAAAGAACCCCAATGGTTTATGCATTGTTGCAATAACGGCTGGTAAGCCCTGGGTGAGATATTAAACAGCAAATCAAGTTGTACCACGATGTCAGTTCAGAGCGGGGGTTGGTTTGTCACCAGAGGGGTCGCTAGATTACTTTACTCATATGTTTCATTTCACGCTCGCCCTAATCAATCTTGCACATTGATTCACCGTCGCGGACTCATGCGATCTTGATGATGTTCGGTCGTTTGATTCGCCGTCAACTTTGCAGCGATTTATAGATTGTTTTCATATGAAGATCGACTCGTTCACTAATCCTACATAATTTGATTTGCAGTCTCGCCAATTATTTTTGTACACCACAAAGTCTCGGCGATTAATTTAATATATTTCTACGGTGTCGATTCTCTTCACACTTCATTTAATTGGTAATTAAAATTTCAATTGTTGTTGTATATTTTTGTTCATGTACATAATTTGTTTGGACGTTACTTTTAGTGACATGAGTTAATCTGAGAAGCACTCGAGAATAAAGGCATTTTGATTTGATTTGTTTTGAATTATGTTCATTTCGCCATTTGATCCACCAAACCGCCGATTTGGTTACCAAAGATTCGTCAACTTGACGTTTTATTTGTTAAATATGGAAATTTAACGACTGATCCACTCTCACCGATGTATTAAATTATTCAATTTACAATTTCGCAGTGCACTTTGAGGACTCTTTTTATCTCCTTGATGTTCGTTTTATCGTTTGATTCACAGTTTAGTCTCCAATTTCGCGGTGACTCATTTGATCATGTTGCTTTCAACACTGACATTGGTTCGCAATCTTACAGTTAACTTGAGAAGATAATTTGACTTTATGGTTGGTGTACTATGGTTCATTTGTTGACTGATATTTTATGATTTGATTAAAAATTATTATTTCCGTCCTCAAATATGCAGCTCTTTGTTTTATCTACGATAATCATGTATTATAACTTAACCATCGAAAATTGACGCATTACTATCATTGTTTTGTTCATTTAGTTCACCGTTTTGCCGGTGAAGTAGGTTTTATTTTTGTCCTTAGTATTAATGTTCATTAGTACAGGCTGAACTTAACCACTCTACATTCTTTTCATTCTAAACGTCAGAATTAGTCTGAGTAATTTTCTTTCTCAAACTGGAGAACAAATTTTACATTCCCACTTAGTACACAAACAGTTAATTACTTCAGTATTTGATCTGGTTTCAATATTTACCATAGTAAGTTAGTAAGTTATAGTAGTAGTTGATATTAAGTAGAATTCATCAATCCATCATTTGATTCAAACATTATTCACGTTTTATATTTAATTTTCGATACAAACATTCCTTATAATATAAATTTACGGAATCGAACAACGCGACGTAGTTTGGTTTTAATGTACAGTACTAGCCTATTTGTATATTTTTCCAACTATGGTACCCAGAGAGCACAGAATAGAAATGAATTTCTATTCTTATTTTATAAGTGGTCAACTCGATGTGTTTTCCTACCACAAACGCACAAATCTTACACACCAAAATTTTGTAACAATTAGATTAATTGATTCACTCATGACTTTTGTCCCTTTTCCCTTCTAAAATTCAGATCCACAGATTGAGATTTTAAATCTATTTCCTGAAAATAGAAATTTACGAACCGGAATGTAGCCTAATGCAGTTTCCACCACGTCGCCCCCGTACATGTTTCCCTACAGGGGGAAGCAATGAGCCTCATCCCCCGGAGCCAACGACTCGTTTAATTGGCCTCAGATTAACGAGGGTGGATCTCCAGGGCGACACTTCGCCCAATAAAACAACCGTTCCGCTTCCGCTGGCGCAGTAATAGACCGTCCCATTCCGGGACTGCGATGGTTTCCGCGTGAAGGGGTCCGTCCCTGAAGGGTATTTTGGGGTGTAGTTTGTTTTGTAACTCGTTTTCCTAAACGTGTTCCTTTTTTGGAGAAGGGCTCTGTTTGGTCTAAAGCAGCCAGGCGAGGAACCAGACGCTAACATTGGGCAAAAGCTCCTGCACCTAGTCAAGGACACAGGCATAGGCTTACCCAGTTAGTGGCAAGTGATATGACAATAAGCTTCGGTTGACGTGCTTGGACCATGAGTCCACCCTCTTACAATCAATCAATCAATCAACTCGTTTTCCAGTGTGTTAGATGGGTGAGATAGAAATGTAATGATTAGGTTGTTCGGTAATTTGTAGAATTTTATTGCTACAAACAGTCCAAACAAACCAATAATTTACAATTTTGACACTGCAGTATCCAATAGTTCATGCTATGACTAAGGGTCAAGACAAACAACGAAACTTTATCTTAATTAATTAATGAGGAATAAATTGATAACAAACTTAAATCTGTGTGAATGTAAGACTAACAATAGGTAAATCATTTAGGTAAATACATGTTATATCAATGTTGCTATTAGATGAGGGAGTGTTTTTCTAAAATTTTTCTAAAACTCGTGGTACAATTATATGACCGTAGTATGATGGTTATTTTATATAATGTAATACTATATTTCATAACAAGAGTAGAAAGTGAGTCTTTACATATTTGAGACCATGTTTGAAGTGCGATATTTATCGAGGAAATGGTCGAGAATATGTATAGACCCACTTTCACTCGTGTTTTGAACTACTTACTACTAAACTACAAAGACTAATTACTTTCTTTGGGATCTTTTTGTAATTTCAACGGGTTGAGTTATTCGGAGATGATAGTGCAAATCTGGACCTGGAGCTCGTGGGACGCAGAGGTAATTGGAGTACACGTTTCAACGACCTTTTGATTTGCGTTTTGCTGCATCAATCCAATTTTTCTACGTTATTAGGAACGTGTGCTCCCGCTATCTCCGCGTTCCGCCACCCCCGAACCCAAATCTGTCCCGCCACCTCCGAATTCTTGAGTGACCCTTATAATCCCGTCACTGCCTGCGTTGTTAGCTGTCATTGAATCCACGGCTGCGAAGCCCCGTGGATGGAAGATTTAATGAAAATTTAACCCGTGGGTTAGGTAAGGTTAGGTTAGGTTAAGTTAGGTTAGGTTAGGTTAGGTTAGGTTAGGTTAGGACGAAAAGTCTTAACGCATGTAGTAACCGAGGATTATAGGGGTCACTCTGAAATTCGGAGGTGGCGGGACGCGGAGATAGCGGGAGGTAACCATTAGGAAGGAACGGACTAAAACATGGTCTTGTTACAAACTAACGAATATAGAACGATTAAAAGCAACTATATTGCATCGAGATTGTTTCAGGTATGGTTTAAGAACAGACGGGCCAAATGGCGCAAGAGAGAACGCAACGCTATGAACGCTGCTGCAGCCGCCGCTGCTGACTTCAAGAACGGCTTCAGCTCACAGTTCAACGGGCTGATGCAGCCTTTCACGGACACAGACTCGCTGTACTCCTCGGCGTACTCTTCCTACAACAACTGGGCCACCAAGGTAGGACCATGTTCAACACTTTACATTAAATCTCATCTCAATTTTGCTATCGAATAGTCCTACTTTTGACAGAGTGATGTTTGCAAATAAGGCCCCGGGTACGATACGAGCGGCGAGCGGCGAGCGGCTTGAGCGGCGCCGCTCTGACATCGGGTCTCATTTAGTTGCGTGTAAATTTGTTGAGGGTGGCCACGATACGTCTGAGCGGCGAGCGGTGGTGAGCGGCACCGCTCAGCGCCGCTCATGGTTCCAAGTCAAAACCGATTTTCGCGAAAACGCCGCTCGCCGCTCGCCGCTCAGGTGAGTCATGCTTCAGCTCGGCCTAAAATTACAGGGAAACATCAGCAAACATGCGATACGGGTCAATACGTGAGGTGCAGTCCAGGTAATGTTTGTGGAATGACCAGCAAGGATATTTTAAAACACTTCAGTCACCAGAAAAGTATGGGAAAAAATTAGGGTTAAGGTTTTTCTAAAAACTAAGTTTTTCTTTAAAGGCAAACAATTGTCAGATAGCTACAAAAGGTGCAATACGTCTTGCAGGTAAGCATAGTTTACCATTTTATACTAAACTAACTCATAAAACTTGGAAAACTTGATGAGCGTTATAAATGTGCCGCTTGTATCGTAGCCACCACCGCCGCTTACGTGCCGCTCAGGTTGCCGCTCGCCGCTTGCCGCTCACCGCTCACCGCTCGTATCGTACCCGAGGCCTAAGAATGTGACATGGTTACCTGTACTCGGGCCAAATTTGAACTTATCCTAATTGCAATATCCAACCAGAAAGTTCAGATACTTAGAACAATCATTACTCGATATATAGCTTAGTCCCAGCTAAAGTACGATTTCAACCCAATTGGTCTTATGTATCGCTTGGCCGATCAATGGATGACTGGTCTACGCTAAAAGACCAGAGTGAGACCATTACGGGTACATCAAGAAATATACTGCAATATCACAATAGACCCCAAACACCTCAGTTCCTGATGAAGAAACGACTCCTTGTCTTCAAGCATAAAGGTAGTTCATCGCCCTCTAAGCCTAGCCTGAAGTAATGTGAAAAATGATTTCGGGCTCTAACATAAGTCTTAAGGCGGGGACACACTTGTCATACACTCTTCCGATCCTACTACGATCCGATTTGCGGGATCCCAGAAGGATCGGTGCGGGATCGGAGGGGGTGAACACACATGTCATACACGATTCCGACCCATCTCAGATTTCCTCCACCGGTCGATCAACACTTGCCAGTCTGATTTGTAAACTACGTGCAGAAGGTGGTAAACATGTTCAAAAACTTTGGTTTTCGGGATTCAGCCATGATGGTCGTTTGTCTAGATAAAGAGGAAGAAAGTCAGACATCTCTGAAGGGCAGTGGAAAACGAAGAAATTGGGTTCATTCTGTATGGAAAGAAATTTAGGTGGTTTACTTAAGTGCACATCTTATATATTAAGCACATTGGGTTTTCTCTCTCGAAGTCGATTAACTCTTCTACCCGTCCGATTTTCATGATCGAGGTCTCAAATTGAAGAAGGTATGCACGCACAGATTTCACATAAAGCATCGGCATATATTTATCTTAAACCATTATTCTTAAATCTTAAGATTAAGGTGATTTTTAAGAAACGACCCGTCCTGCATCCGACAAACGAATAGACTGCAGTGTCGGTGCGTGATCGGAACCAAAATCGGAGTAGGATCGGAGTATGACATGACGCGTGTCGGAGAGGTGTGAACAACCGCGTTCAATGTTATGTACCATTCCCCTCTCCGACAGTCGTACCGCAGTATGATCGGAGTCGGATCGGAAGGGTGTATGACAAGTGTGTCCCCGCCTTTAGGATGTGAAGGTGGGAAATAAAAAAGTTGTCTTAGATTCGTAAACAAGTGGTCATAAATATGTTTGTTTGCAGGTGCCGAGCCCGCTGGGTACCAAGACATTCCCGTGGTCCGTCAACCCGCTCACTTCCGTCAACCACCACCAAAGCTCCGTCAACTGTTTCAACGCCGCCGCCACCTCCGCAGCACTATCGTCCTCCTCGGGTGCCGGGTCCATGCTGCCCCCCACCCCTCTGTCGGCGGCGTCCGCCCCCGGCTCTGCCTGTCCATACGCTCCCCCCACAACCCCCTACTCCATGTACCATCACCGCGCCGCCGCCGAACCCTGCAACGTCATGTCCTCCAGGTAGAGATGCACTTGGTCGATGGAAGTACAGTAGGTAACCCTCTACCATTCATTTGCACTTTTGGGCTGGGACATAACCTCTGCTTTACGGAGTAGCCATGGGTCGGATAGGGTCCGATAATAGTATATTACGTTACTAGTCCTGAAAATAAATGTTTACCGGACGAGTGTGGTCGTTCCCGTGCGAGACGAAGTCGAGTACGGGATTACCATACGAGTCCGGTACACACATTTTGGACGAGTTACGTACGATAGTTTACGCCATACTACTCAATTCGTACAAATCCTTATATATTTCCAACAACTAAAGGACTAAAAATCACCAGTCTGTTTTTGTTTATAACCAATCATTGCCACGCAAATGCAGTATAATCAGCTGATTGGTGTCCGGTAAAACTCATTGCAGAACAGTATTACGCAATGAAACCCCATTTGAATAAGCTGGCGGCAAACAGCTGTTTTCTGGACTAAATCCTTGCGTGGGAAGTTCGTCAAAATAATGTAGTGTGGCGTAAAGAGGTTTACGGGAACTCTAGCTACCTGTGAGCATCTGCAGTATTTGTAGCTACTCGTAGTGAAAAGGTATCGTGCATGTTATCTTATATAGGTGATAGGAACCGGTAGAATAATTTTAAAATATATATCCTTTGGCGTCATCATTTTCCTGATCAAATAATTTTATTGAGCTGAAGTTGACAATACATTGCATTAGCTAAAGCATAAAAAAATAAACCAGTTTTCTTCTGGTTTTAGGCTAAAATAGGTATTTACAACAATTGCTACTAAAGTTTACATCGTCTTAACCAATATTACACGCCAGGGTTTACAACGGCCCCGTTGCTGCGGCCCAAAAAAAGAGATTTTAAGTATTTGTTTTGAGGCATTTTTATTTTAATAGCGGGATCCTTTAAGTTACAACAGTTCGTTCTATAAGTAAAGGAGTTGATATTCAGGTGAACTAAACCTTCAAAAGAGCATACATAAAGACATACAGTCTTCCTAGAACATTTCCAACAAGTTTAATTAGTAACACTCGGATGGAGTTTAGGTAACATTCGTTCGTGGATGGATTTAATTGTTCACTGGTAATACTAAACAGTTTGGACCTATAGTTTGCGTTATTATTCTTTTAAACAGTTAAGTTGTTTGCGCGAAACTAATTTTCGTAGATCCCATTGGCTACTCTGTATGTTTGTGCTGCTTCCTGGTGTTATTTTAAGTTAGTTAGCCCACAGATAAGTAATATAAATAATTTATATTACTAATATAACATTATAATATAATATTATAATATATTATATTATAATATATTATATTATAATATATTATATTATAATATATCTATATAAATAAAATTAGAGTTTTGTCTGTACATTGCTCAGAATCATACATTTTTAGGTTATTTTTACGTTTTATACATTAAAGAAGCCGAAACAATTCTCATCTAAATTTCTGTCTGTCTGTCTGTCTGTCTGTCTGTCTGTCTGTCTGACACACTCAAGATGGCATTTTACGCAATCTTCTCCAGGAAAACGAGAGTACCTATCAAGACCCAAGTCATTTTAATGTATTCACTGGATTGGCGAGAGTGTCTTTAGCCATTAAAATATGGTCTCACTACTTTGTAATTAAAATTACGGCCGTTCAAAAATGCAGTTTTGTGCGATTTTTGTCAAGTTTTCTTCCAATTTGTATCACATAATCATCTATGAAACAACGAACAGCTGTTCGGATCAAGATTATTTTTTCTAGCTGTCACTGAAATGTTTACAAATGTTGTTTACAAACACCACAACCATTTCCGATCACGTTTTGAAGGCAAATCCCATCCAAGTGAGATTAAAAACGTTTTTATTACATAAAGGATTTAATTAATCGCAAGTGGAATAATATAGTGTAACCGTAAATTAAATAACTAGGCATCATCCAGGTCAGGAACCAGAAATATGTGTATAAAATTGTTTTGGAGTTTTGATAACCAGAAAGAAGACATTGAATCAATATTGAATCAGTGTTGTATACGGCTGGGAAACTTAAATTTACTAATGACCGTCGCCAATAGCTTAGAAACAATGTTCTACTCATTGACGGCTCTTCAATGGCGGTTGTGTAAAGTGTAAAGCAAAATATTACAACTGCAGTGGGTGATTGTAACAGAGGTTTACGGATGATGCTGAACTCGATTTTCCAATGTGTCACTTTCTGTTCCTACCATTGACTATATAAAGTCAATAGTTCCTACTCACCGTGTGATGCAATCGCTGGACCATACAGCCAATAGGCTCATAGCCCTTCTCTTGGGTACGTGTGGTACGTATGCTTACCCAATTATTTATAACAACCCTTTCGACAACGATCCTTGATACCGGTACTTTTCCATAGAATACACGGCCTACCTAGGTACTTAAGAAATAAAATTATAAACGTCCAAAAACCCAACGTTGTGTGATTTTTGTCACATTTCCTTATAATGTTAATATATATACCAGCAACCATTGTTTAGAGAATACGTAATCTATTAAATAACAGAAAGTTATGTTGTATAAGGTTTTTTTTCAAACTGACACCGATAGAGTTGTGTACAAATAAAGCAATTAATGGGAAATAACTTTGATTGCCGATAACTTTTTACGAGAAAATCCAAAACCAAGAGATCAATAACCTTGATTAACGCATATAATTGGTCGGCTGTACTACAGTTCTTAACTGTAAACGTTGGTTTTTGGTACGGTACTGGTTCTTTTCCTTTTAACCTTTAGTAGCAGCAAGAATCATTTTTACGTACCAACACATCACAGTAATTTACAAATTAGTATCGTTGGTGTTGCACCTTATTTATTACAGGCGTAGGCCTATTCAATTTAATTGATGTGTTCAGATAGCATTTCCACAGAATTTCGAGTCATCTCCGGTCCAAGCAAATATAAATTGTTATGATCAAATTTTATGTCATTAACAAAGATTTCAAGTACTAATTTTATATGTACCTTTTTATGCTTAAAGCGTAGCAGATTCCCTAATTAAGTTCGGTATTTTTGTGTGTATGTATGATGGTAACGCATTAATGTCCTTGTTTCTCAATGTTTCACGGAAAGGACAAGAGCGCCTTGATAATGAAAATGTCAACCCGAATAAAGTGTTAAATTAAGAGGTTGAGGTAGTACCTTAAATACTTTTAACCATTATGTTATAGTCCTTTAAATTCTGAACAAAATTGTACAAATCCCATTTCCGTATATTTACTCTCACCGCTTACACATGATAAAGGTTGTTGACAAACTTATGGGAGAAAGTATGTGTCAGAATGCTGAACCCGTTTATTTAGTTTAATCATTGGATATAACATATGGACCAACAAGATCCGGGTGACATTTAATTGCGAAGCATTAGTTTTGGCTTGAAACTTTCAGATACTGTATTTGCGAAGGAATAGTTTTGTCAGCATATCTGAAAGTATGCAAACCAACTGCTGTGCTTTATATATGAAGGTTTTAACTGACTATGATAAGATCCCCGTGCGTAGAACGGGCACACAGCTAGTTATATTATAATAATATAATATTAATTTATATTATTAATAATTTATATTACTTCTCTGTGGTTAGCCTAAACAAACCTCAATAGAGAGACTGTCGAGGGATGATAATCATTATTTGAGAAATTAGCAAGGAGGTGGTCCCCTTTTCGAGGTGCTAGGAGAAAATTCCATTGGGTTTCAAATACTATTTTTACAAACTTATGATTCTAGAGAAAACTTTAGCTATCGAGGTTCTACTGCACCCAAAGATATATGTATGTACATTAGCCAAGTCTTGCAAAAATATCTTCACAGAAGTGGTATCATATTTTATTATTAAAAATCAAGTAAAAGTTGTGTTTATATTTCCACCATATTTTTATCTACCTACAATTATAAAACTAAATGGTGATTAAGTTTTTCTTTTGTATAAAAATGGATTTTCTAGAAAAAAACATTTTTAGGATTTAAAAAATATATACTTTCCTTGTACCCCTCTTAAATACTGTGGTATGATCCATAAAGAGGATGCGTGGTTAGCATAAATTCATTTCGAACTGTGGCTAAATGTATTGTACGTGCAGAACTGGCTTGACAAAACCGTTGAAAAAGTAATTTTAAATCGTATTCTTTTGAAGATTATCAAATTTGAACATAAGTTAGTACCTAGGTTAATTTTAAAGGGAAATAACTATTGTGGATTATTTTTTTGAAATTAAGAAAAGCAGGCAATCCATCCTAGCAGAACTACAAAGTACGGGGGAAACAGCAGAAAATGTTAACCTAGCTGCTGTACACCTTTGGCAATTTAGGGTTTACATTTTTGTTTTAAACCTGGTGATGCATTGCCTAGTAGATGAAGACTGATTATGTTGAGTTTTTCGTCTTCATCTCTGGTACCGAACCTAACATGAGAAACCCTATATGTAACTCTTATTACTCCCTTATTATTACATCCTCTTCTACCTAACATAACCTAAACTAATCCGACAAACGTAAAATCTAACCTCATAACGAACCCCTACCTCTTATACCTAATAACATAGCCTGTGTCTTGTACTACAGTAATTTGTGTCCGACATAACCTATCCTAGGCATTATGACCTATGACATATCCTAGGCATTTTCCTCTTATCGCAGTTGTACCTAACATAAAATAACCTAATCCAACATAACCTAACCCTTACCTAACATAACGTAACCCTACACCTATACATAATCCAATACCTCGTCCAACTTAACACCCTAGCATACCCCAACTCCTTTATTACTCGTGTTCCCAACATATTCAACCCCAATCCGAACTAACCTAAAACGAACAAACCTAACCTCAATTTCTACAACCGCCATGTTGTGTCCAGTATTGCCAGTCTTCGGCTGAAGGCAAAGCAGCACTCGTCCGGCTTCTCCTACTCGCCGGCGACTCCCGCCTCCACGTCGTCGGCCCGAGTAGCGTCGCTGTCAGCATGCCAGTACGCCACGGCGGGAAGTGGAAGTGACCGCGGGGGCGTCTGACGGTACTCTGTCCAGCACCTCATAGAGGACAGGGATCTGCCCGCCATAAAGACAGAGACCGACGAAAAGTCGTGTGCCATCGACAACCAGGATTTTTGAAAGTTCCAAAACTTCATGAGTGATATCGACTTTGACATTTTGTAACGATTTTTTACCGAACGATGCCAAAGATTGTGTATATGTTTCTTCAGCGGCTGCGGTCGAATCAGTCACACCATTTACGGTTGGTTTGTGGTAGATGAATTTAATTTGATGGATAGCGTATAAACTAAAGTGAGTTGGAATAGATACAATTTATTTTAGATAATTATGTTGACAGTAGTGCTGTTAGGCTCATTGCCAGTTTTATAATGTTCCACAATGCAAATATCGATCTTAAAAGGAACTTTTAATTGAAAAAAGAATGTTGGGTCTACTTCCTTTCATTGTGAAGCTGTTTAATTTTTGTTGTACTCCACAATAAATAAACATAATTCAATTGCCTATTACAGTACGAGAACTGTGATTGAATTATTTTACAATTTTTTCTTGTTCAACTTGAAGTAAAGAAATTCAGCCAAGTCAACCACTTTGATACTACCCCATTTTTTATGATTTTCACGTGTGTAAATGGAGTGACTTTTTTGGCCGCCGGCGTTTTAACTATTCAGGCAGGGATCTAGGTCTCATTTTTATGGCTGAACCTATCTTTACGTCCACAAAAATTAGCTAAAATAGTACAAACAATTTTATAATTATTTTCCAAACATTTTCACCAACCCACGAAAGCAATAGAATGTTTAGTAAACAATCATGTTTTTCTGTTAGACATTTAATTTTGAATGGATATAAAGAAAGGTTTTATGCCATGCCTTCTTGTATATATTCTTGCTCTAAGCTAAGCTAACTTGTTGTAATATATAAAGCAATATACAGTACCTGACCGGACTGGTGTATACAATGCAGCTCTGTATATTGTATACTGCATACTGACTGTACCTCCTACAAATCATAGTATACAATGTTGTATACTGAGTGCACATTTGTATAATATGTCTGATTGTGTCATGTTTTATATTGTTTATACGATTCGGCCAGCCATTTAACATTTTGAAAACATTTGGTGGAACGTTTTGTGGAATAATCTTATCATATGTTGAATTAAATAAAGAATTCTAATAGATTAGGTGATTTTAAGATGCATTCCAACCTAGCCTAACGGAAAAACCTTCACAAGTTTCAAATAAAGTCATACCGTATCGACTTTTACTAGGTTTGGTTGGGTTAGGCTAGGATAAGTTGGGTCCCGAGTCTACACAACCTGAACTGAAAACGTCCACCTTTTAAAAACTTATATACAGTATGTTTAAGTAGACCGTACGTAATGTCCATAAAAGGAAAAACAGTGGTAAATTGTATGTAGTGGTCTCATTTTCAACAGAAATATTCGAAATTAGTTATTTAATATTCATAAAATTATCTGTAATCTTTCTAATTTGGACTTTCATGTTTATTAAGGACCTTAATAAATGAATATATATTTCTCAGCAGTAATATAAATATATACTTGAATTTTGAACTGTCGTGTACCCAAAACATTATACTGTAGTATATATTTTCCCATTTTAATATATATAAATTTTGTTCTATTAATTCCTGATTACAAAACTATTAATTCTTCACAACAAAACAACTAATTATGAAAGTGGAAATGCAAGCAGTAAACAGTTTTGTTTGTAATGTTCTACACAAGCAACTACATAAAAAACCATATAACAACAAATGGAGTTTTACATACAGGATTTGTATAACGAACGAAGCAAGTGACATTTTGTAACAAAATAAATAAGCCATTCTTGGATTTCAGACAAATATCCATACATATCATTTATAGTTGAGTTTTCACTCTCAAAATGACAAGTGATAAGCATTATCACGACTAATTAGTTAATTTCCAACATTACTAAACGTTATCACACACTTATCACCTTCAATGTACCACTTGTAAAATGAAGATATAACTTTAGAGCGGGGTGCAAAATATAACACGATTTACGAAATTGGCAAAACGTGCAAGTAATATGTCTACTACGATCTTTGTATCCCATTGTGTTTAACTGAAAATAAAACATATTTTCATTAACAATAACATTATTAATTTTTTCCTATTAGCGAATTTCCCACAACAATTTGATCAAATTTGGAAAATGCATTCATTTTATACTAAACTACTAACATTTTACAAAAAAACACCTTTTTACCCTCCCTGTTGTAGCAAACCTAAGTACTCGTTAAACTAATGTTATTTAAATAGGGAATAAATGTGATATTTTTAAGGAGACATGTTAGTGTAAATCCAATCAGGCAAATGGAAATTTGCTTAGTCTGCAGGTTTGCTGCGGCGGGGGTATTTGTATTTGCAGGTGATTAATGAAAATTTGCTATTTTTGTGTTTTAAATCGAATGATGTTTTTTAAGGCTTATTAAAAATTCAGAAATGTTTTTTTATGTTTGCCTATAATTATTATTACAATAACTTGTAAAATGAAGATATAACTTTAGAGCGGGGTTCAAAATGTAACACGATTTACGAAATACGACTTACGAAATACTACGATCTTTGTATCCCAATATGTTTAAACTGAAATCATTAACAATAAAATTATTAATTTTTGCCATTGGTATTTGCAGCTTAATAGAGAAAATTTGCTATTTTTGCAATGTTCTGTATATTTACCGGCTTGTGAGTACCATTATAAGCGTAAATATATGTTTTAAGTGTTATAAGACGTTTCTTTCATTTACTTTCCGTACATTTAATAACACGTACAATGCTGATCAAGAAGTTATTTATTAAAAATACAAAAATGTTTTCGAAATATATTTACCTGTAAATTACCACAGCGTATACTTTAATGTAATCGAGTACATGTAAATAATTAATCCATAACGTTACCAAATGTTTTCAAAATGGCGGTTGGCAAAGCGAGTCACTCGCTGTGGTCTTTGTACAATGTGTAAACTTCTGTGTGTATGTAGCCAAAATGGATGTACAAATGAGTGAATAAATAGGTTTTGTTAATTTACATTGTTACAACCCCTGTGTTTTATTCGACCTTTGTGTTAAACAGTGACTGATAATTAGGGGTTTGTGATGAATAAAATCACATAAATCACTAGGATCTAATGTGTCTCTGAAAAATAGAAAAATCACATTTTCACAACACCTCGAACAGTTTTGATTCAAACTAGTATGCTTTCCTTTAAACTCTAAATGCTACTAGTCTAATTTCGGTTAAACTACTGTTCAAAATTTATTGCAATCTTTGCAGTTTTAATCATAACGTATTATAGTTACTCCCACCCATTATGGGTAGTTGACAAGCTAATGGGAGAACGTGAGTGTCAGTTCGATGATACTGTACCATTTATTTTCCAAGTTACCAAAACAGGTAAAAATGTTCAATAAATCGGTAAAACACCCCACCTCATATTATCAGCTTATTTGTTATTTGTGTACATATAAAAAGACAGCACGACAATTAGGAGGTAACTTATACAAAATTAGCCGCGATAACCGTGCTTCGCAACGGGAAGAAACACTCAAGAGAACAAGGATGTTCTATAGATCTCCTGTATAAAACAGTGAACTCATAAATAAACACCTACAATTTTGTTAAAGCACAGAAAAAATCATTTTCATACACGTGGTTTATTAATTTTGCAATTTTAATATTAGGTGTATTCATAAGAATAACATAAAACCCTTGCAAGCCGTCAGGACAGAGCCCTAGGAGAGTATTAAAATAATAATAAAATGACTGTGTCCATTAAGCCAGTGGTATATTGGCTCTATTCGTGGAAAATATAAGCTCAATTGGTCAAGATAAGAGGTGTGCACGTTATTGACATACTCCAAACTTTCACATAATGTTCCGGCTTGTAGATCAGTTAGCAGAATGGTGAGGCGAGAAAATATAAGTCCCATAGAGGCTGCGTTAAGTGTAGTTTTAATCATTATTTTAACGCAGTTATATGGCGAATTACTTAAGTGGTTTTAGCGAATATGTGTCCATTAACGCGATAACTCCAGCAAAAATGATCCGATTTTGATGAAATTTGGTACAAACGTGTAAACCTACGTTTATTCTAACGAGTTCGCGAACCAGCATAATCAGACTATGGTTACGGGGGTTTATGGGGGGTTTTATGGGGTAAAAATTAGGTTTTCCCATTTTTGACCCTAAAAACACAAAATTTCATTATTTCTCTCCAAACCATTTTGTAGAGCTTAAAAAACAAATAATTTAGTAGGCCTATATTGAAGCGTTATTATGCGCCTAATGGTTACGGAGAAAATTCCAAAAAACTGTAAATTTACAATTCCCATGTTATTCTTATGGAGAATAAGTAAACTGGTGTAGTTTGCTTGTTTATGATCATATTTTGATCAAATTTGGTAATTTAATAATTTTTTATATTGAAGCGTTGTTGTATGCCCAACGGTTACGGGGATAATAAAAAAATGAAAATAAAAAAATAGCATTTTTTATAAAGAATAAATACAATGTTGTAGTATGCTTGTTTATGGGTATATTTAAACCGAATTTGGAAATTTTGTTTATTTAACACGAAGCTATCGACAATAAAAACACCTCAATATCTCTACTGTAGCAGCAAGCCTAAATACTTTTTAAAATTAATGATATTTAAATAGGAAATAAATCTGACAATTTCTAGGAAATATTTTAGTAGAAATCCAGCCAGGTAAATGGAAATTCGCTTAGTCTGCAGGTTTGCTGCGGTGGGGGTATTTAGTTGTACAATAGATTGAACATTTAAGTATCTATAGATTTATCATCATTTTGAAGCCGCCTAAAATAATCCCATGTAAATCTCAAGTAGTACATTTCTTTTAACGCTTGCGATTAAGCGATTTAGTAGACCAAAGCGGACCAAAACTTTCAAATTTGTGTGTGTAAACGAACTCACCCCTCCTCCATAGGGGTTCATTATGCTAGCAACACATGTAGACAATATTCATACAAACAAGAATCTTCTCAAATAAATGTATAATAAGGCTTTGTACTCTTGGCAAGAATTATAAACATTTCAAAAAGAAGATCCAAGTTTATGTAGGGGAATTTATCTTCCATGAATACAACACAGTCAAAAGCCAGAAGAATGGAGCTAAGCGTGCAACAAATTACTTGACAACTCTACATCTTAGAGCAATGTTTCTTCATATTTTGTGACCAAACCGCGCTCTGGTACCATCCCCAGGTTCTATGGTTCAAATC